AAGAAACATAAAGCTTCATCTCACCAAGAGCAGAACAAGACGGTATTGGAATTTCCCACATTCAGGGAGAGCAGAGCAGGCCACCAATGACGAGGAAAGCAAGCTTGCCAATCAGCAAATACTGTTGTTGTTGTTGTTTTCTAATCATGGCCAATATTGGGAAACGACTGCCTCTCCAGGCAGACCCTCAATAACCAGGCACACAGAAAGGTCACTGTGAGCCAGGATACTGGGTTCTAGTCCTGAGTTAGCAGCTCCTGCTGGCTCCACACTGGGCTGCTAAGACTCCACGCATGTCATAAAATGAGAAGGCTGTGCTGCCCAGTGGTTCTTGAACTTTCAAAGACTATCCAAAGCAAAGACTAAGAATTTATCAAAATGAAATAGAATTTCATAACATCATTCGAGAAATGAACTTTTAGCTTGTAGATTGAGGTAGCAATGATGATTTGGAAGACCCCTCAAGAGGTTTTGTTGTTGTTGTTGACCTTGTTGTCAATGCACTGTATCAAATTCTTTCTTTTTATTTATTTTTATTGTTCCCTTTGGTTTATCCCCAGTAGTCACTGTTTTTGATTCTGGTACTCTGCATCATATATATATATATATATATATATATATATATATATATATATATGTTTATTTGATTTGGGGAAGGAAAAGGAAGGGGAATAACAAAATGGTGAAACAAGGATAAAGGGTGAACCAAGGCAACAGTGATACTCACAAGACAATAAGTTGGAAATGAACTTTACAACTTGGGATGGGGGAGAAGTGGGAGGGAGAGGATAGTAGGAGAACACCAAAGAAGAAGGTAACAGTGCTTGATAAGAAATGTACTCATTACTTACTCATGTAACTGTAACTCCTCTATACAGCATATTTACAATAAAACTTTAAAAATGTAAATAAAAGAAGAAAAAAGCAAAAAAAGATTGGGGGAGACATGAGATTTAACTGAAGGGAGAGATGCTAAAGTTTCAGTAAGAGAAGAAGTCAGACTTAAGACAGCAAGTTGAGCTTGGTGGGAAACCACAGGGACTATATCAAACACATGTTGGTGGCAAGTCACAGACCCTCAGCCATTTTGCTCCAGCCACTTCCTGCCAGAGCCCAGGAACCACCTCAGCCTGCACCACCTATGCAGGATGGTTACCTGCATGGGAGTGTCAGGCTCTCCCCCTTGACAGCCATAGGCCAAACAGGTACATACCCCAGGATTTTGGCTCCCTGTACCATTTTTTTTTTTGCCACACAATAGGTTGTAGAACCTATTTTCCATAAGAAACTAGGCTGGATGGTATAATTTGAAGCTGAGGGAGCTGATTAGATAAATTCCTTCTCTTCCCTGAGATCATCAGATGTTCTACAGTATGGTTATTCCACACACACTATTGGGAGACCTCTGATAGAACCACACAGATGGGCCTGCTACATGATCTTTCTCTTCAGCTTAGGAAGTAGAGGCCAATGGGTAATGGGTCAACTTGCTTTTCTTACATTTCTCCTTGCTTTATTTCATTTTTCTCCTTTTAGCTGCTCTGGATTTGTACCTCATAAACAGGCAGCTCTTAATCCTTGCCTTAGCCTCTATTTCCTATGGAATTTGGACTACCAGCTTTGCTACTCCCCTTGCATTCATAAAACAGCTCTCCAATGCAAGTGACCTCATAGTAAGCAGAATACATTTCTTGCTAAAAAGAAAGAAAACTGCCCGCACTCTATACATTAACAAAGATTTTCTCCAGTATGAATCTCTGAGGTTGAGTAAAAGATGAATAAACTTGGAAGGTTTTACCACGCTCACTAAGCTGAAAAAGCATATTTCCACTATGAGTTCACTGAGGCTCAGTAAGGGTTAAGCCATTGCTCCTGGAAAGGTTTTCCACATTCACTGCATTCAAGTGTGAGACTCAGGCTTTCCTTAAAACCATTCCTGTTACTGAAGGCTATCCCTGTATGGAAGGAAGGCAGGAACAACTAGAAAATCTGAAACAGATCTATTTGAAGAGGTTAATTTATTCATTCCCTGATAAATATCTGGAACAGCCCCAAGGAGCAACTAGTGGTCTGGGTTGAGGGAAAGTATTGGCCTAGGAGAGCAGAACGTGAAGAAGGTTCTGTACCTTACAGACAATACCATGCTGTCACTTTCTATTTTTTCATGATAAATTTCCAGCTCTTAATTTTGTTTCTTTGTGATGAAACTAAAAGTCCAACTAGAAGAGTATTAAAAATTTGATATAAAGCATTAATATTTGTAAATGTCAATGTCCATTTTTTAAAACCTTTAAAAAATAAATTATGATGCCTTCAGCTTTAAACAGTTTAAAGTAGTGGCATTTTTAAAGCCTTTATTTTTTCTATATTTTTATATTTAGTGTTATTTGTTGTTTTGTGTTGGGAAATACTAGGGTTGGAACTCAGGGCCTCATACTTGCTGGGCTGGTGTTCTCCCAACTGAGCCATGTCTCCAATCATACTTTTTGCTGGTTGTTTTATAGATGGAATCTAGCAAACTTCTCTGCATACACTGGCCTCGAACTGCTATACTTCAGATTCTAGCCTCCTGAGTAGCTAGGAATGTAGGTATCAGCCATTAGCTCCTCTCTATGTATTAATTAATGCATTAGGATGCCTACATGGCATGAGGCCCTGGCTTTGACATCTAGCACAAGCCCTGCAGCACCACACACACACACGTACACACACAAAACTAAAACACCAAGAATTCACCACCTAATATCCAAAGTGAACATTAACATTGAGACTGAATCCCCTCCTTCTTCCACTTGTTATTTTGGTTAATCTAAGGCAGTCTAAGAAAGTCTATCATTGTCTCATGGATTCCTCTCATTTTAAAAATTGTCTAAATTGATATCTTAATTAGTCAAGAGGCAGAAATGTCTGTGAGACTCTTATTTCCAATTAACCACCCAAAAGCTAGACGTGGAGCTGTGGCTCAAGTGGTAGGGAGCTAGTCTTGAGCAAAAGAGTTCAGGGGCAGTGGCCAGGCCTTGAATTCAAGCCCCAGGACTGATACATACCTACACACAAAATTGTCAGCCAGCACTAGTGGCTCACACCTGCATTCCTAGCTACCCAGGAGGCTGATACCTGGGGATTGAAGTTTGAATTCAGCTGTGGCAGGAAAGTCCTTGAGATTCTTAGCTCCAATTAACCAGCAAAAATTTGGAAGTGGTGCTGTCACTCAAGGGATAGAGCACTAGCTTTGAGCAAAAAAAGCTCAGGGATTGTGACCAGGCCCTGATTTCAAGGCTGAAGACCAACACACACACACACACACACACACACACACACACACACACACACTGTTGCCTCTGTTAAAAAAATATTGTTAAAGATGATGTACAAAGGGGTTAATAAGTCAATTATAATGAGTACACTTTTTGACAGTGTTACCCCTTCCCTCACTCTCCATTTTCCCTCCCATCCTTACCCACAAGTTGTATAGTTCATTTTCACCAATGTATCTAGTACCATTGCCACTCTTGTTCACCCTTTTTCCCTCAAGTTCTGTGCCCTCACTACCCTCCCAAAGACAGATAAATCAACAAACCAGACAGAAAGAAAACAGAAATAACACCAAAGAAACAAAGCTCATTTTGCCAGGTGCCGGTGGCTCATGCCTGCAATCCTAGCTACTTAGGAGGCTGAGATCTGAAGATCACAGTTCAAAGCCAGCCCAGGCAAGAAAAGTCCATGAGACTCTTATCTCCAATAACCACTAGAAAACTCAAAGTGGTGCTGTGGCTCAAGTGGTAGAGTGCTCGCTTTGAGCTGAAGAGCACAGGGACAGCGCCCAAGCCCAGCGTTCAAGTCCCAAGACTGACAAAACAACAACAAAACACCCACCTCATTTCCATTTCTTGGAGTTCATTTCAACAAATACTATTTTCTATGCTCAGAGGCACATGGGCATTGCACCTTCATGTTCCTCCCCTAAGAGTATCCTTTGATCTCACTTGAGTGACTAGAGTCTTGTATAATTTATCATGTCCTTGGGTATTTCAAAGCCACCCCAAGCAGGAAAGTCCATGAGATTATCTCCAATAAACAACTCAAGTGGTAGAGTACTAGCTTTGAGCAAAAGCTCAGGGACAGTGCCCAGGCCCAGAGTTCAAGCCCCAGGACTGGCAAAAAATTAAAAACTAAAAAAAAAAAAAGCTTTACATAAAATTTAAATAGAACAAAAGAAAATTATGAAATTTATATCCCCAGTTGGTTTCAATTATGACTATACTCAAGTCCATTCAAATTCTGAATTTGTTTTGATCTCATCTTGCTGATAATCATAGAATATCGTAAGAGAAATACTTGACCCTCTGTTGCTCCTGCTGAGGCTTGAACTCAGGACCTGGACACTGTATCTGAGCTAGTTTTGCTCAAGGTTAGCACTCTACCACTTTTGCCACAGCTCCAGTTCTAGCTTTTTTGGTAGTTTAGTGGAGATAAGCATCTCACAGACTGCCCTTCTAGGGCTGGCTTCAAACCATAATCCTTCAAATTTGTTTTTGTTTTTTGATCGGTTACAGCACCACTTGCGGTTCCTGACTGGGCTGGCTTTGAACCTCGATCCTCAGCTCTCAGCTTCCTGAGTAGCTAGGATTACAAACATGAGCCACTGGTGGCCAGCTGATCCCTCTATTTTTAACAAAGCAATAAATTAAAGGTTATAAACATCAGAGATAGTCAAGAGCCAAGTTTGTCAAGTCTTTTATTTTCTACTTGATATTATTAAACAATATATTATCTACACCCATAGATTCTACGACATTTTTTTTCTCCAAGCTGCTACAAAAGTCCACACATGAAAAGTATTCCCTGCCATTCATGTGCTCTAAGGCAGACTTAAGATTTATAGGCTTGCTGGGTGCTAGTAGCTCACACTATAATCCTAGCTACTCAGGAGGCTGAAACCTGAGAAAGTTCAAAGCCGGCCAGAGCAGACAAATCCATGAGACTGTTAACCCATTTAACCAGCATAAAGTTGGAAGTAGAGATGTGGCTCAAATGGTAGAGCACCAGCCTTCAGCAGAAAAGCTGAGGGCATGAGCCCCAGAAAAAACTGAGCAAGAGTGTAAAGCCTGGAGTTCAACTCTCTCTCTCTCTCTCTCTTCTCGCTGTCTCACACACACACAAACACACACACACATATACAATGATTTAGATGTGTTAGGTTGTAAGGGATCTGTTTGGCAAATCAACTTCCTGGATCTTTCCCTTCTGGGAAAAATCTACTTTAATATCCATTAGGATTCATGGAATTTAATTCCAGAGTTTTCAAAAACACGTGTTTGGTTTTTTTTAATGTTTCACTTTATGTGACTAGAAAAAGAATACAGATACCTAAAGATTGCTTAGTGCCTGAGTCAATAAAATAAAAATGTAGAGCTGGGCTGAGGTACCACAAGAATTCTGAGTCAGGATGTCAAGTTTGGTGGGGGGGGGGGGGGCACATTAAGGCAGACAGTAAATAATGAGCACCTACTATTTACAAGGTACTCTATGAGATATAGACCTGTAAGTCATACCTCCAAGTGCTTACAATCTAGCTGGAAGCAACACATGTATGTATATTATAAAACTAGAGCATAGTGGCAAAGAGAAAAAGACTTTCTCTGATGGCTTATGCTTGCAACCCTACTCAGGAGGCTGATATCTGAGGATGGGGTTTGAAGCCAGCCCATGCAGGCAAAGTCTATGAGACTCCTCTCTCCAATTAACTACCAAAAAGCTAGAAGTGGAGTTGTGAATATCTCTCTGGAAGAAATACTCCTGCCATCTATTAATTGTGCCTTTCTCTTCCTGTAGGAGTTTCTAGTTATTTAAAGTGCAGGGATTCCTAGGACTGAGGTTCTGACAGGAGGTATGTGTGAGGATCCACTGCTAACATCTATCCTATTGTTTGATAATGTTTCCTTTTTTTTTTTTCAGTGCTAGAGATGAAACACAGGGCTTCCCACAAGCTACACAATGTTCTACCATTGAGAAACACTCCAGTCCCTTTCCCAATTTTGGAATGTAGAGTCATTTCCTCACTTGCACACCTCATGCTTGTTCTACAACATAGTAGGTACAGGATGTCTGCTCTAACACTCATGATGCACAAGCAGTGGCCAGAATGGGCAGAATGAGCAGATGTCAGGTTTGTTTACGACAGGAAGACCTATCTTTGGAGAGGTGTTTTTTTTTTTGGTTTGACTGGAGCTTCAACCCAACTCAGTCTATTCCCTGTTTGGCATAACGCCTCTGGTGTTGAATCACAGATGATTTTGAGCTGAAAACTTTCCCACACACACTGCACTCAAAGGGCTTCTCTCCTGTATGTACTCTCTGATGTCGCGTAAGCCGGCACCTCTGGCTGAAGGCTTTCCCACACTGGCTGCATTCATATGGCTTGTCTCCGGTGTGGATCTTCTGATGTTGTGTGAGGGAAGAGCGTTCAAAGAATGCTTTGCCACACTCATTACACTGATAGCGCGGCTCCCCAGCATGAGCTTTCTGGTGTCTGTTCAGCGAGGAGACACCATAGAAGGCTCTCCCACACTCATTGCACTCATACGGCTTCCTGCCAGTGTGGATCAGCTGATGGCGAGTGAGAATGCTCTTCTGGCTAAAGGCTTTCCCACACTGATGACATTCATAAGGACTTTCTCCAGTATGAATTCTCTGGTGTCGAGTAAGGGATGACCGGTCAAAGAAGGCTTTTCCACACTCGCTGCACTTAAAGGGCTTCTCTCCTGTGTGAATCCGCTGATGTACAGTTAAGGATGACCGGTCAAAGAAAGCCTTGCCACACACGCTGCACTCATAGGGGCTCTCCCCAGTGTGGGACATCAAATGTCTGCTGAGACTGCTTCGGTGACTGAAGGCCTTCCTGCACTCGGGGCAGTTATAAGGCTTCTCTCCAGTATGAGTCCTCTGGTGGCGGATGAGTGATGAGTGGTCAAAGAAAGTCTTCCCACAATCACTGCATTCCTGATCTCGATCTTTAGTGAGGACTTTCTTGGGTAATCCTCTCTTCAAGCTTTTGTCCTGGGAATAGAATTTCTTGCAAGGTTCCACTGAGAGGCTTTTCTTCTTTGTTTTCAACCCACCCTCTGGTGCTTGAACTTCAATTTTAGGACACAGAGGACTTTGTCTTTCAAGACTTTCCCTCAGTTTTCCTTCTTCTGAAGCATCTTGAAGGTCAGGCTTAGTCTTCCATACTAGAACAAAGAGAAAACAAAAAGGCACTATCTCTGGGCCAGAAAATATTGTAGGGGAAAGAAGAGATGCCCTAATGGATCTGAAAATAATGCATGGTCCTGGCACTACTTGTTCCTACATTCTAGGGAAAGCCTGAGGTTCAGGAAAGAGGAAGAGGAAAGGAAGAGACCACAGAATAGGACAATGTCTATAGGAAGCTGGACAGGATAATTAGATGTAGGTGGAGTGAAGAGGTTGAGGGACAATATCAAAATATGAGTGGGAAATGGGAAATACTTAAGAACATACACAATTGGTGAATATAGACAAATAATACTTTCCCCTTAAGGTGTAGAGGGGAAAGAGAAAGTTGACGGACACTACAAAAGAAATACTTAAGCCAGACACTGGTAGTGCTGAGATCTGAGGATCTCAATTCAAAGCCATCCCAGAAAGTCCTTGAGACCTTTATCTCTAATTATGCACCCCCCCACCAAAAAAATGGTGGGAGGAGAGCTGTGGGTCAAGTGGTAGAGCACTAGCCTTGAGCAAAAAAGCTCAGAGATGGCACCCAGCCTCTGAGTTCAAGCCTCATAACTAGCACAAAAAAATAGTAAACAAATAATAAATTAAAAATACTCAGATAACACTTTGAGGAAACAAAAGGTGATATGCAATATTCTGGGTTCCCTCCAAAGTCACAAACATAAACCAAAACTACTTCATCCTGTTCATTACCTAGAGCAAGACTCTCTGGACACTCTTTCTCCTCAGATCCATGAAGACCCTCCTTCCATGACATGTCCCCTTTCTTCAACTGAAAAATCACATCAGGTTGAAGAACTGGAAGTCCTGCTCATGGGGAAAGAAACAAACCAGGTGACTACTTGTGATGAAAATATATAACTATTCCAAGCTTGATCCTGGAACCTATGTCTTTCAGAAAGACGACGCAAAGGCAGACAGTGCAGGCCAGTAGGGGAAGCTCTGAGTGGAGGAAAAGTCTGAGGCTCTAGAGTGGGGGAAATAGCACTTGGTTTGAGTGTAGAATACATTCACTAGAATGCACATGAAGTAGAAGGGAAGCTTTGCTCCTGGGCCAAGGTACAATGAAGGTAGGCCCTGGCTCAGGGAAAATGAGTATACACAAAGCCCATCTTGAGAAAAAAAAAAAAAGCTTAAGAAAGTTACTTACTTTTATTTGTGTATACTTAGTCTTATGCTTAAAAAAAAAAAAGAAATCAATTGTAGGAACATTAAAGGTCTGTACACATTAAAAGAAAAATCATCTTTCCTACTTTGTATTAATTCATTTATTTCTTTCTACTCAGTTTAATACTAAAAGATACTTTCAGATGCAGTCTGTTAAAAATGGATAATGAAATAATGTGGACCTAAAACAGTATTTTTTCATGTAATAATAAATTAAAAATAATTTCAATGAACACTAACCTACCTCAACACTTTAATGATGTTTTAACTGTTTTGCAAATAACACACAATGGTATGATAAGCATTGAAATGCCCAGTGCCTGATACACTTAGTCTTTACTAGAAACAAATCTATCCATTTTTAGTTTTATATATTTTCTCTCATATGTGGAAGTTAGACCTAAAACGTAAGCATATGTGAAAACATATGGGACCATATGCATATATACGTGAAACTGAACAAAGGACAGTATAGGCAGGAGGGAGAGTCCACAGTGTAACTTCTTTGAACAACTGACAGGCAGTTCAACAATATGAACACCAGGAAGCTGAAACATATCTTGACTGGGAGGGGTGAGGAGCTAAGGGAAGGGGAAAGATGAATAAAAAAGAAGGAAGGGTAGGTGGATACAGCAATGTACATGTGTGAAAACTGAACTAGGAAATGAGATGGGTGGGAAGGGATAAATAGGATAGGGAGAATGATGGAAGGGATGACTCAGATCAAAGTGTGTTGTACACCTAAATGGACATATTAAACTGAAACCATTTCGTACTCCAGAAAACACAGATTCTCTCTAGGAAATGGCTTGAGTCATAAGCTTCCCTTGCTCTGTGGGAAAGAGAGGCATATCTATCATTTCCCTGTTGCTTTTCTTCTCTGATCTTAAGTGTTCCATGTTCCCTAATATTCTACCCTGCTAGAGCTTGTGACAAAGACTTAGTAGCTTCCTTAAATATTCTATTCTGCCTGTTTAGGCTTGCTTTTTAAAAATCCTCCTTACTGTTATCGGCTACGTATCTCAGCCTGCTTCTTTCTGAATCTGTGCACTCTCAGACTTTTCTTAAAAAAGAGATTCCCACTATTTGTCCAGATGGTCTCTAGTTCCTGGGCTTTAGATAACCTCTTGCTTGAGCTAGGACAACAGGTGTTTCCCAGTATGCCTCTTACTTTTGAAGCTCCTGAGAGGCTCTCACTACTACTGAAGCCCAACTTCTCATTAACCTGACATTAGCAGTAGCTCTTAATTATTCCCTTATCATACATATCTCTATAATTGAAATGTGACTACTGTGGATCTCTAAGATTGTTCTCAAGACAAATTCTCCAAATTAAACACATCTTTGGTGACCTAAGCAGACATAAAGTTGTGTTCCCTGCTTTTCATATTTCCCTTTTTAGAAGACATTTCTTCTTTAAAAAAATATATTTTTATTATCTTTAAGTAGTTGTACAAAGGGGATATTATTCAACATGTTACATTGTTAGTTTATGAGTACAATACATCCTTTTTTTTTGCCAGTCCTGGTGCTTGAATTCAGGGCCTGGGCACTGTCCCTGAGCTTCTTTTGCTCAAGGCTAGAACTCTACCATTTGAGCCACAGTACCACTTTTGGCTTTTTTGTTTATGTGATACTAAGGAATCGAACCCAAGGCTTCATGCATTCTAGGCAAGCACACTACAACTAAGCCACATTCCCAACCCTACAACGCATCTTGAAGAGACATTTCTTATCTCTTTTCTAGCTTCCATAAGGGGAAATTTCCCCTGAGCAAAACATACCAGGATGGAACAGAGAATACTGCCTGACTGGCAAGCTAGGAGAAGACCCAGGCATATGTGACTTGTGCTTGCTGCATCTGGAGAGGCAGCTCCCTGCCTCTAGCAGACATTCTACCTTGTCTCCAGCTCTTCCTGCTTTGACAAGCCAGGCTGCTAGGTCAGGAGGCCTGTGGTGGTCCAGCATTCCTAACATCTCAGGGAGCACAATTGTCCAGTGCTTGGATTCAGTATTAAGATAGCTAATGCTGGGCTGGGAATGTGATTTAGTGATAGAGTGCTTGCCTAGCATGTATGAAGCCCTGGGTTTGATTCCTTAGTACCAATAAATAGAAAAATATATATATATACTCTTTTGTCCCAATACAATAAGTGGTAGGGTACTAGCCTTCACCAAAAGAAGCTCAGGGACAGTGCCCAGGCCTTGAGTTCAAGCTCCAGGACTGGCAAAAAAAAAAAAGCCATTGCATACCTAAACTATATCCTTTGGCTCTTTTATTTGTTAGGTGGCTCAGAATACAAGCTGGGGAAGAAACAATTTCTCAGTCTCCCAGGTCCACACTAGCACAGTACAGGTCCAAACTCCTCATAGGAAGCTCCTTACCCAGAGAGACAATGTTCTGGTAGTTCTCTAGCATCACCACCTTGTAAAGGGCCTTCTGCACAGGAACCAGATACTTCCACTCTTCATCCGTGAAAATCACACATACATCCTCGAATGTCACTGATTCCTGAAAATACAATGACAGCTTCCCTTACTCATAGCTCTTTTGTTGTTGTTGGTGGTGGTGGTGGTGATCATAGGGCCTAAACTCTGGGCCTGGACGCTCTCCCTCAGCTCTTCAGCTCAAGGCTAATGCTCTACCACTTGAGCCACAGTGCCACTTCTGCCTTTTTCTGCTTACGTGGTGCTAAGGAATTGAACCCAGGGCTTCGTGCATGAGAGGTAAGCACTCTACCACTGAGACACCTTCCCAGCCCTATAGCTCTTCTTTTGATTTGGGCCACACTGAGCTGTCATAAAGGTGACAGCCCTGGAGAATATGGAGAAGGCAGGAGCGGGGAATGATTCTGACAGAGTAGGGCTTTGAGGAATTGGGGAAAGTGGCTCAATCATGAAGGCCTGAAGTTTGTGGTCATGATCCCATCACCCTGCAGAGGAGTGTGGGCCACATCCTACACCACTACCTGACATCCAGAAGCTCTTCTTCAGATTACAGAAAATTGGAAAGACTAGGACAAAACTTCCCACATATCATTCACTCAGGTTTTGAAATGTTATTATGTTCAACATTTGCTTTGTCTTTCTGTCCTTTTTATATACATTCTCCTATTCCTTTCCCTGAACTTCTTGAGAAACTTATAAACATCACTTTTTTTTAACTCCTAAACATTCAAGTGTAGTTCCGGGAAGATGGCGGAGGAGAAGCTGGAATCTGAACAAATTCTCGCATAGAAAGCAGGTTTAGAGTTCCAGTGAACAGTCCTAAGCCAGAGAATCACACCAAGTGTGCCATCACAGGACAGAGAGTTAGACAAGAGAGGGGAAGCCAAGACAAGGAGACACATCTGAGCGCCTGCCAGCAGCCGCGGCGGCGGCGGCAGGGTCGCGGCGGCGACCGCAGCCGCGGCCATACCTGAGCGCTCACACAGAGAGTCCGGGACGAAGGAGCCAGACGCAGCGTACGAGCGGATTCTACTCAACACCAGCAAGAACCGACAAGGAGCGGACAACTTCATCCTGCACTTTGCAGACCAGAGACCAGGATCCAAGACTCGGCATGAGTAGAAGCCCGACATCCTCACTCCTTCTCCGGGAGCAGAGGAGGGAAGGCCACCCCTCCCCCCCAGCACCGGTGATCTCCATCTTGGATACCGACAAAGCTCAGAGGAGCTGCTAGCTCCAACTCAGGCCTTGGAATAAAACGAGTCATAAAACAGGTCACAAGAACTTAACGGCAAAGTGACCTGCCAGACTCAGCTCCATCCAGGGAAAAGTCACCCAGCTCAGGCACCAGCCATTGGAGTGGCTTTCCTCACTGGGTAACCAGAGCCAGAGGCTGCCCCTCCCTCTAGCAGCCTCCACAATCAATTGAAAAACAGAAACCCTGAGAATGGCTCCAGGGTGGGCTCTGTGAATTTTTCACAAAATAGCCCCAGGGAAAAGCTACTGTTTGTTGAAAGGCCTCAACTCTACCAGAACCTAGCCTCATCACCCCTCTTTTGTGATTCTCAAAGCAGATCACCCTCCCTGGGTGATCCCCCTAACCTCCTAACCTGGGAGGGGGATCTCAAAATCTTGGGTAAAGCAGAGCATTTTTCTGCCTGTTCGAATAAACTGACTTAAGAAACCAATCAAGCCACAGGACCTCAAGCTGACCAGAGACTCCAACAAGAGGCTGGTTACAGACAAAAGGGAGATACAGGATTCTTCCCACCCCTCCCAAAAAAATCAAAAAAAAAAAAATCAAAGAACTTTTTTTTCTTCTTTTCTTTTTTCTTTTTTTTTTTTGGTACCTTATATATATATAAATTTTTTTTTCCTTTTCTAAAACTTTTATTAATCTTTAATTTTTGCCTTTTTTGAAAAAATAATTGTTTTCCAGTAACTTTTTTTTCCCTCTTATAATTTTTATTTTAGGAATACGTGAATGTACGTTTTCCTTTCTTTTCTTGTCTTCTCTCTCTTTTTCTTTCTTTCTTAATTATCTTTTTGTTTTTTGTCTAGCTCTACTGAACTTCTGATCTTTTTTTTTTCTCCCTTATCCTTTTCACCTTTTCCTTTCTTTTGTTCTTCTGTATGTGACTTAACTCTTGTCCTGCACATCCTCAGATAAACCCATAGTTAACTAGTAGACCCTATCCCCCATTGTGTACACACTTAATCCACAAATTTATTACTCAATCCAAAACCTCTGAGACTTAAATTCCTTAATAGCAGTACTACCTCTTTATACCTATATAATATTTTAAGCATTTTTTAAGTTTTTCACATCTCCTCTATCTCCCTCCTGTTTTCTCATTATATTCACATTCCTCCCTAAATAGATGGTCTTTCAATCTCCATAACTATATTAATTTTTATGTTTCTAATTTTTTTTCTGGTCTCTTTTCATTTCCCTTTCCCTTTCTTCTTTTTCTCTCCCTCTCTACTTGCATCCTACCCAACCTATTTCCTGCATTGAGATTAGGACATAGTTAACTCTCCCTGTGCCTCCCCACACCAATCTATTCCTAATTTTTACCCACATCTCTCCCTAACCCTAAAAATTTCTGGTTTTCCAAATTCTTCTCTGCGGTTCGAAGCCCATTAACATATAGTTGTTTGATGTTGAATACATGTATCTGTTGAACTAGATTGTATCTGTAGACTATTGACTGTATAAATGCAAACGTTGGTTGATGGTTGCCTTAAGATAGTGTTCTAGCACAAAACTGGTGCTATTTTCATCTCAAATGGGCAGAGTAAGCCGGAAAAACACAAGAAAAATGGCAAATCCGGGTATCTCAATTCCCAATCTTGATAATCAGGGGTCAGATCAGATAATGAACAATCCAGAGGAGAGTTCCCAAATAGCTCTACAAACACTAGTGGCAAACATGATAAATGAGAAGTTTGACAACTTACAAAGGACTCTGTATGAGCGTGATAGGGAGAGAGAGGAGGCATCCCAAAAGTTTATACAGGAATATCATAAGCATGAGGAAGCTACTCAAAAACTGATACAGGATTTGCGTGAACAACTTGAGAATACTCAAAGAGAAAGGGAGCAATGGCGTGAGCAGGCTGAGAACACTCAAAGAGAACTGCAGGAATCCCACGAACGGGAGGAAAGAGAACTGCAGGAATCCCACAAACGGGAGGAAGCTAATCAAAGAGTAATTCAGGAATTGAGAGACCAGGTAGAGAACACACAAAGATCACTAAAGGCATTCATGGAATCCATTAACAAAGAGCTGAAGGAAGTCAGGGAGACCACAAAGGGAATGCTGAATGGAACCCAACAGAAGGAATGGGAGTCCAAAGAAACCATAACCAATCAACTAAGTGATTTGAGAACAAACACTGAACACCAAATTAAGGAAGTAAAGAAATTCATACAAGACCTAAAACAGAGCTTCAACAAAGAACTTGAAGCCATCAAAGCTGACCAATTAGAAGGAAAAGAGATAAAAAACAAAGTAGAGAGTCTTGACAGCAGGTTAGACCATGCAGAAGATCGAATCTCAGGGATTGAAGACAGCCTAGATATTATTGAGAAAGAACATACAACCATCCAAGACAAGTCCAAAAAGTATGATAGATCTATCCAACACCTGGAAGACACCATCAGAAGGCCTAATCTAAGGATAATGGGTATAGAGGAGCACCTAGAAACAGAAGTTAATGGTCTAGGAAATTTGTTTAACAGGATCCTAGCAGAGAACTTCCCAAACATACAAAAAGATAGGCCTATTCAGATACAAGAAGCTTTTAGAACCCCAAATAGACCAGACCAGAATAGGACATCCCACCGTCACATTATAATCCATACAGGATCAACTCAGACCAAGGAAAAGATCCTTAAAGCTGTCAAGGAGAAAAGGGTAATCACCTATAAAGGGAAACCAATTAGAATCACCTCAGATTTCTCAGCAGAGACAATCAAAGCAAGAAGAGCCTGGAATGATGTATGCCATGCCCTAAAAACAAACAACTATCAACCAAGAATACTGTACCCAGCTAAACTCTCCTTCATAACTGAAGGCCAAATAAAAACCTTCCATAGCAAAGAAAAATTGAAACAATACATCTCCACCAAACCAGCCCTACAAAAGATGCTTAAAGATGTCCTACACATAGAAAACCAACAAGACCGCAACAAAGGCCAAGAAACTGCACCCAAACTGAGAATCCAAGAACCATAGGAAGAACCCAGTTTTCGCAGCCCCCAAGAAGGTGGATAACATGGCAGGAACTCCCAAATACCTCTCAGTCCTATCTCTTAACGTTAAGGGACTGAACTCTCCAATTAAGCGACATAGACTGTCTAGTTGGATTAAAAAACAAGACCCTTCTATCTGCTGCCTGCAGGAGTCACATCTTGCCCGTAAAAACAAACACATTTTCAATGTTAAAGGCTGGAACAAAATCTACCAAGCAAACGGCCCCCATAAACAGGCGGGAGTTGCAATCTTAATATCAGATAAAATAGACTTCAAATTAAAATTCGTGAGAAGAGATAAAGAAGGTCGCTACATACTAATTAAAGGATCTCTCCTTCAGGAGGATATTACAATTCTAAATATCTATTCGCCAAACAATGGAGCACCCAAATTTATCAAAGAAACACTACTTTCCCTCAAATCCCATATAGATCCAAAGACATTAATTGTTGGGGATTTTAACACACCACTCTCCCACCTAGATAGATCAACTCGGCAAAAACTCAACAGAGAAACCGCAGATCTAAACAGCTGCATAGATCAACTAGACTTAACAGACATCTACCGAACATTTCACCCAGCAGCATCAGAATACACGTTTTTCTCAGCAGCACATGGAACGTTTTCTAAAATAGACCACATTTTAGGCCACAAAGCAAACTTGTCTAAATTCAGAAACATTGAAGTTATACCTTGCATTCTCTCTGACCACAAGGGAATAAAATTAGAACTCAACACCAAAAGCCACCAAAGAAAGTGCAGTATCACATGGAGGCTGAACAACACACTGCTGAATCAAGAGTGGGTCATGGAAGAGATTAGAAAGGAAATTCAAATGTTCATGCTATTCAACAAAAATGAACACACAAATTACCAGCTCCTCTAGGACACAGCAAAGGCAGTACTCAGAGGCAAGTTTATAGCTCTGAGCTCCTACATCAACAAATTGGAGAGATCTGAAACTAACAATTTAATGACACATCTAAACCTCCTTGAAAAAGAGCAGCAAGATAAACCCCAATCCAGTAGACGGAAAGAAATAATCAAAATTAAATCAGAATTAAATGAATTAGAATCCAAAAAAACTATAGAAAGAATCAACAAAACAAAGAGTTGGTTCTTCGAAAAACTTAACAAAATTGACAGACCCTTAGCAAATCTTATCAGAAAAAGAAGAGAACACACCCAAATTAATAAACTCAGAGATGAGAATGGAAACATCACCACGGAAACAACCAAGATTCAGAACATTATAAGGGAATACTTCTCAAAACTTTATGCTAATAAGTTTGAGAACTTGACAGAAATGGACCTTTTCCTAGCAAATATTGACATGCCAAAACTAAACCAAGATGAGTTAAACCAGCTTAACAGGCCCATATCAAGCATTGAAATAGAAACAGCAATAAGAGACCTCCCAGCTAAGAAAAGTCCAGGACCAGATGGTTTTACAGCGGAATTTTACAAGGCCTTCAAAGCAGAGCTCACACCAATACTCCTCCAACTCTTCAATGAAATTCAAAGAGAAAGCTCACTACCGAACACATTCTATGAAGCCCCATCATAATCCTCATCCCAAAACCAGGCAGGGACTCATCAAAGAAAGAGAACTATAGACCCATTTCTTTGATGAACATTGATGCAAAACTTCTCAACAAAATTTTGGCCAATCGACTTCAACAATTCATCCAAAAAATCATACACCACGATCAAACAGGATTCATTTCAGGGATGCAAAGCTGGTTCAATATACGCAAATCAATTAATATTATTCATCACATCAACAGGAGCAAGAATAAGAACCACATGGTTATCTCAATAGACGCAGAAAAAGCATTCGACAAGATCCAACACCCCTTTATGATGAAGGTTTTGGAAAAATTAGGAATCCATGGAACATTCCTCAATACAATAAAGGCTGCATATGACAAACCTACAGCCAGCATTATACTCAATGGTGAAAAACTAAAGCCATTTCCTCTTAACTCAGGAACAAGACAGGGATGCCCACTCTCTCCACTTCTCTTCAATCTAGTATTAGAATGCCTAGCTACAGCAATAAGACAAGATGCAGACATAAAGGGGATCCAAATAGGGAAAGAAGAAATAAAACTCTCCCTCTTTGCAGATGACATGATCTTGTATTTAAAGAATCCCATAGACTCCACTCCCAAATTACTCAAGCTGATTCAAAACTTTGGCAAAGTAGCAGGTTATAAAATTAACCCCCAAAAATCAATGGCTTTTCTGTATGCCAACAATGAGAAAAGTGTGGCTGAAATTAGGGAAGCAACTCCATTTGTAATAGCCCCACAAAAAATAAAATACCTAGGAATTAACTTAACTAAAGAAGTGAAGGACCTCTATGATGAAAACTTTAAAATCTTGAAAAAGGAAATCAACTTAAAAAACTTAAAAAATGGCAAAACCTCCCATGCTCCTGGATTGGAAAGATTAACATCGTGAAAATGGCAATACTTCCCAAGGCTATCTACAAATTCAACGCGATACCTATCAAAATTCCACCCTCATTCTTCAAGGAAATAGAAGAGGAAATCCAAAAATTCATATGGAACAATAAAAGACCCCGAATAGCAAAAACGCTCCTCAACGGAAAGAATACTGCTGGAGGAATATCAATACCAAATTTCAAACTCTACTATAAAGCCATAGTAATCAAAGCAGCTTGGTATTGGCATAAGAACAGACCTCAGGACCAATGGAATAGAATTGAAAACCCAGAAATGAACCTACAGACCTATAGCCATCTAATCTTCGATAAGGGAGCTAAAACAATAGAATGGAAGACAGACAGCCTCTTCAGTAAATGGTGCTGGCAAAACTGGTTAACTACATGTAGAAAACTAAACCTAGATCCTTATATATCACCCTGCACCAGAATCAACTCCAAATGGATCAAAGACCTTGAACTCAAAGCAGACACTCTGAAAACATTACAGGATGGAATAGGAGAAACCCTGGGTCTCCTTGGCTCAGGCCGAAATTTTCTGAATAGAGACCCGGAAACACAACAAATCAAAGAAAGGTTGGACAAATGGGATTGTATAAGGTTGCAGAGCTTCTGCAGGGCAAAGGACATAGCTAGCAAGATCAATAGAAAGCCCACGGATTGGGAGAAAATCTTTACTAGCCATACAACGGACAAGGGTCTCATATCTAAAATATACTTGGAACTCAAAAAATTAAACCACCCAACAACAAATCCTCAAAGAAACAACTGCCCAATAAGTAAGTGGGCGAAAGACTTAAAGAGAAGCTTCTCTGAAGAAGAAAGAAGGATGGCCAATAGACACATGAAGAAATGTTCAACATCCCTAGCCATAAAAGAAATGCAAATCAAAACAACATTGAGATATCACCTCACTCCAGTTAGAACGGCAAAAATCAAGAACTCTAACAACAACAGATGCTGGAGGGGATGTGGACAGAAAGGAACCTTACCTCATTGTTGGTGGGAATGTAAACTTGTTCAACCACTTTGGAAAGCAGTATGGAGGTTCCTCAAAAGACTTCACATAGAGCTCCCCTATGACCCAGCAATCCCACTTTTGGGCATTTACCCTGATGTTTACAAACAAGACCACACTAAAGCTACCAGCACAACTACGTTTATTGCAGCATTATTTACCATAGCTAAGATATGGAACCAACCCAGATGCCCCTCTGTAGATGAATGGATCAAGAAAATGTGGTATATATACACAATGGAATTCTATGCCTCCATCAGAAAGAATGACATTGCCCCATTTGTTAGGAAATGGAAAAACTTGGAAAAAATTATATTAAGTGAAGTAAGCCAGGCCCAAAGAAATGTAGGTCCCATGGTTTCCCTTATTTGTAATATCTAGTATATGTATGAGTCAAGCGGAAAAGGTCAGATAATGTGATGTCAGGAAAATGAACCCTTAGATGTGTATTTTAATGTTTTTTTTTTCTTTCATGCATGTGTTTCTAACACATTTATAAGATTATCTCTTTGTTGTTTTGTATGTCCCTCCTCCACAGTATAACCCCTGCTTTCACTATATTTGATGTCAGTATAACTTGTGGAGGAGATGGGGAAAAACCAGTTGTTTAAGGATACAGGTGGACCTGTTGCAACAATGAGAAGTACAAGTTGTCATGTCCAAAACGAGCTTTACAACGTTGGTGCGGGGGGGGGGGGGGGGGGGGGGGGGGGGGGAAGAAGAAGGATTGAGATTAGGGGGGGAGGGGGAGGCTGGGAAGGGATGTGAAGGATAAACAAAGGAGGAGGCTGCAATGCTTGGTAAGAAATGTACGCATTATCCTGCCCATGTAACTGTAACTCCTCTGTACAGTATGTTCACAAATAAAATTAAATTAAAAAAAAAATAAAAAAAAAAAACATTCAAGTGTATATTTTGTAAAAACAAGGAATTTTCAGTGTAATCGCAGTATAATTATAAAAATGAAAAAAATAGCACTGATATTAAACTACTATCTAATCTATGACCTTATTTAAATATCAATTGTCCATTTATTTATTTATTTATTTATTTATTTAAATAACAATTGTCCATTTTATATACATGTGATGATTTTATATAAAACGGATCATATTGATTAGGTGCTCTTTAGGGCCAATGTCATTTCACTCAAATGCTCTGGGATTCTGTAAGCCTTCATCTTTAACACCCCCCCCCCAACACACACCCCTGCTCAAGAACCCCAGAAGCTCTGGTATAGAAGAGCCTTCAGAAGCTCTGGTATAGAAGCAGGGAATTCAAGACTGTGTCCTGGAATAGAGCTAGCTGAATTTCTTTCTCTATCCACTGAGACTCTCTTCAGGCTCTGGCCAGCCTCATTGAGGGGCTCTATAACATGTACCACTTCCCTGGCCTAGCCTAGCCCTGGAACGCTGGGGCTCTCCGTCCAGATATTAATGCACTAAAGGGAAAGAGAGGACCACAACCAGCCTACTGCTCCCCACCCCTAACAAAAAAAAAAACAACTGTTCCAGTCAGACCTGTATTGTCAGCTTTTAGTCAAAGTAATCTCAGAACAAAGACTGTGGGTATTTTGTACCTGGTGACAGACTAGAGGCTATATACTCAAGGCAAAAGAAGGTCACTGAAGGACACCTCAAGTCAAATAGAAAAGTATTCCCTTTGGAACCCTTCATCTGCCTGCTGGGGTCTGAGCAAAGAAGCTCCAAGATAAAGAAAGGTGACATTTAGGTGTCTAAAAGTATTTCAGAAACACAAAAGTCCACCTTACCTGGCAATGGGCAGGCGCAGACACAGCAGCCATTCCCTCGTGTGCTCCACAGGCAAAGGACCAAGTCCTAGTGAGGCAGAGGTGTGGGATGGAAAGGCCTGGTCTGTAGCCTTTAAAGCCTTTAAACCAGTAAAACAAGGATTCTCAATATACTCAGTGGGCTACAAAACCCCCTCCCCCTTCTCAATACCTTACAAAAGAGCAGACACAGTAAAATAAGGCTAGGAGCAACTCTAGCTCATTCCAGAGCTTAGAAAGCAAGCTGGATCAAAACATGGAGCTTGTTTGACCAGGATCCTTAGGGAAGCGTTCTATTCCTGGTAGTGAGAAGATTTATCTTTATATATTTATATTCAACCTTGACCTGGATGTTTATTGGACAAAATCATACACAATTAACACATCAAAAGAAACACCGAGCTTCTTCAAGGAAAAAAATACTTCATTCAATAGCTCTTGCTAAAATAGTAGCCCTTGACTAAAATAAACAAACAAACCTGGGACATGATAGATTATATAGGACATTAGTCATTAACATACAGAGGCCAAAGGCTAAGAATAGGAGTAGTGGACAAAGGCTCAATAGCTATGGAAAGATGATCATACAAAATAATATTCTGTGAAATAAACTCCAAGAAAAGGAAACAAGAGACATTCTTTAGTTGCCGTGGTTTTTGTTTTCTTTTCCTTTTGTCTAGTTTGTTAGCTTGCATGTATTTGGGAGGGTAAGAGAGGCACATAAAAGGTATAACAAGGATTAACAAATACAACAGTGATACTAGACACTATGTGGAAAATGAACTGGATATCTGTGGGTGGGGACAGGAGGAAAAGATTGAGAAATAGCAATGGAAAGGGAGACATGATTGTCCCTGATGTAAGTATAACCCCTCTGTATATCAACTATACAAATACAATGATAAAATGAAACAGTAGTCATTGGGTAGCCATGTATTTACATGGCACTGACTCTGTGTCTCAGTTCTGGAGCTACACTGACTAGGTCACAGCTGGGCGATATACCAGTAACCAGGAGACCGAGGGTTAGCCGGCATGAAAATATGGCATCCTTCCTCAGGAACATAAACTAAAATATGTCAAGACAATACATGGGTAATAAGCTGAAATTATCAGGAGGTACTGATAACCTGCTCACAGCCAAGATTACCAGAGGAACCAAAGTGCTAGGAAGCAAGGATTCATGGGTGAGTGACATTATGAGCAAAGACCATAGAACCTCTGGCCCTCTGACCTCTCAACTCCCCTAGAACCACTTGCAGGCTCCAATTTCCATGCAGACCAGATTTATTTATCTTTGAATTTTTAAACTCTAACTCTTTTAGGCTAAATATGAGTTACCTAAATTTGTCTCAAGAGCCTAATTAAAATGTCATAGATTCCTGGGATTTCTGGGGATGGAGGAGCTAATGTAGTCCTGGGAAGGAGAAATGGATATGTTTGTGTCTTGCTGGCTGCTTTCCTACACTCAGGGAAATACGATCACTGTTCCTTGTGTTTCATTCATCCATGTGCTCAATCAGCATGCATTCACCATGTTTATTCCAAGTGTTTATACCAAGTACCCATGACAGGATAATTAAGTGCCGGTGGCTTATGCCTGTAATCCTAGCTACTCAGAAGGCTGAGATCTGAGGATCGAGGTTCAAAGCCAGCCCAGGCAGGAAAGTTTGTGAGACTCTTATCTCCAGTTAACCACCAGAAAACTGGCAAAACTGAGACCTAAGGAAATTTTCTTGTCAGGGAGAAGGTAGAATATTTCAGGCAGGAAGAACTTAAGTTTTTCAAAATAAGGAGGTCAGTCTTTATGTGGAAAGAGCTAGTGCAAAAACCAGTAGAAGTGCAAAGGTCAAGCTATAAGTAGTGCTGGGGAAAACAGGCTAGAAAAGCAGGCAGAGATGAGGGTGGGAGTTGGGGAGGGTGGAACTTGCAGCCTGGATGTTCTTACATTAGACTTGTACTTTAGAAAGATTGCTATGACCTGTCACAAAGACCTGGAACATATATACTTTCTGGCCCATTTGTATTTCCTATGAATTTATGCAAGGAAATATGTAAGAATATATACAAGGCTTTTAGTTAATCATCATGAATGTCAACCTTTTTTAAGGTTATGTACAACTTCCTATGTGCTTCACACATTATCATCTCAATCCCTATAATAATAATAATAATGAAGTAAATTTTGAAACACTATCAACATCTAAGGCAGGAAATTTGTTCCACCCATACAGTGGAACACAATTCAACACATACTCATAACAACTAACACTTATTCAATATTTATTCTTTACCAGGCACTGTGCTAAGTACTTTCAGTAAAGATAATTTATTTCCATCCTCATAAATCAGTAAGGTATGTGCTATTTAAAGAAATTAAGACACTTACTCTTTGTAAGAGATTGAGGTAGGATTTGAACTCAAATTTGTCTGGAAACTTAACTTTATACTATAATGATTTATTTTCTTGGAAAGATAACCACAAAGCTAATATACCAATAGACTAGAATAAAAAATCCCCAAATGCATCTAATCGTTTAAGGAAACTTGATAAGTGACTGGAGTATCATGAAAAAAATCACAAAGGAAAATATGCCTAGTGATAAAATGCAGATAACTTCAGTGCTCATCAATGATATATAATATTTTATATAATATAAATTGTCATTATATATCTATATATGTAAATAGTACAGATTGTCCTGACTTGTGATATTTTTACTATAATTTTCTAACTTTATGATAAGAAGAATGCAGTAAGAATTCAGCAGCAATCAGACTTTGGAGAATTTCAAGTTCTGACCTTTTCCCAGGTTAGCCACATGCTGTATACTCTTGGGATACAGAGAAGGGCAGAGCTGTAGCTCCCTTCCAGGCAGCCATGAGACTTTTGGGCAGGGGAGATGGTGGCAACAACTAGTCTGCAGTACACTCAGTCAGTGAATTATGATGCTCAGTAAGTCAGGTATATTAAATGTATTTTGACCTATATTTTCAACTTACGACAAGTTTAGCAGAATGTAATGCCATCCTAAGTCTTGAAGCATGGATTAAAATGAGCTAGATACATATGTGAAAATAGAACAAGAAATATAAGATGGATGGGATGGGATAGATGGGAGGAGAGAGGGAGAATGATAGAAAAGGGATCAAGATGTACTGTACATATAAATGGACATGTTAAATTGAAACCCCTTTGTACAATGATTTGAATAAAAAGAAAAATCAAGGGATAACTCCTAGGCCCTATATTCAAACCCCAGTACTGGCACAAAAAGAGTAAAACATGGAAAATGTTGCCTTTTTATGAGCAAAGCTGTTACCAGCTTAAAATAGCCTGTTTAAAGGCTCTGTTGAGTGTGTTGGGGTGAGGACCAGCCAGAGAGGGAAGGACCAATAGAGAAGGTGAATATGTAAAAGTGATCTCTATAAGCATGCATAAAAATAAAACAATGACGGCGGGGGGGGGGGGGGGGGGGGTAGGAGATGGGAAGGGATGGGAAGGGGAAACAAAGGAGGAGGCAACAATGCTTGATAAGAAATGTACTCATTACCTTGCCCATGTAATTGTAACTCCTCTGTATGGTATTTTCACAATAAAACAATGAAACATGTTGGAATTGTTTTGAGAAGAGAGGAGAGGGGATGAGGTGATAATGAAGGAGGTGAGTTTGATGTAGGGTATATCATATGCATGTATGGAAATGACAAAATGAAAACTCCTTTGTACAACTATATGCTAATGAAAAATCCTTAAAAAATAAAAAAACAAAATATTTATTCCCCCAAAAGATCATCTAGAGTCTCCAGTTAACAACAGAGAGAAATAAAAAAAACATAATCACTGAACAAAAAAGTTGAAGTTATAGACTTTTTTGTACATATTCATACAAAAAATTTTAGACCATAAATGCCTCAAAAATCTTTATGAGACAATAACTGCTTTTAGAAACTGTAAAGTAGTTACAAGAGAACAGTTGCCCAAGATTCAGAAATTTTTTTTAAAAAATGGAACATGTGTATTATGTGGCCGATATCTTCACTCTTAACTTGGTTATGAGACTAAACCAAACCTCACTGCTCTAATATGCTGAAGAAGCCATCTGAGGGGGAGGGAGATGGATGCTCAGTTGTCACATCAAAGGAAACAACATTCTTGCAGCATCCATTCTTGTTTAAGCCTTCCACTGTTAGAGATTTGAGGTTACATGATATACATTATGCTCATAACTGATGTGGCTGGAGAATTGGTATTGAATTTATAGCATCAGCAGAACAGAAAATGTGATGTATTTTATGCATGTCAATAAAGGAATGACCTGTTCTCGTTCTACAGAGAATGGAAATTGGAAGTCAAACACCCTTTGAATTCCAAAACAGGGTCTCAAACATTTTGGAATTTTCATTTAAATTGTTAGGAGGCTTGGAGCTATTAGTTAATCTACCTTCCAATACACTGTTTAATACAGCACTGAATAAATGATGCAAGTTGTTAATGGATGAGTGATCAACTAATAGCTCTGCTAGTAATTGATTTATTTTTCTTCAATAAAGTTGCATAAACCAAAAAAAATTTAAACCATAAATAATGCCTCAAAAATCTTTATGAGACAATACCCACCAAAAACTGTGAGTATATCTGAGAAAGGACAAAAATAAAACTTGGGAAGGAAACAAACTTTATCTGTAATGGTTTGTTGGTTTAAAAAAAAAGTCAGATCTGGGCACCAGTGGCTTATTCTGTAATCCTAGGATTACAGACTGAGATCTGAGGATTGAAGTTTGAAGCCAGCCAAAGTGGGAAAGTCCACGAGACTCTTATCTCCAACTAACCACCAAAAAAGCAGGAAGTGGAGCTGTGGCTCGAGTGGTAGAGTGCTAGCCTTGAGCAAAACAGCTGAGGGACAAGGTCCAGGCCCTGAGTTCAAGCCCTAGGACTGAAACACACACAGGCATGCACACACATACACAGTCAAAGGGAGAGGGGTGAGTATGAATAAGGTATACTTTAGGCATATATAGACATGTCAAAATGAAACTCCTTGCACAAATAATTTTAATAAAATTGTAGAAAAAATCAGAATACTAAAAATAATTTCTCCAAATATCAAATGAAGGATGTAGAATCTGAAAATTACACATTTACACATGCACAAGGCATCGAAAAAGGAAAAAACATATTAAAGTGCAAATCGAATTTGAGTGATGGAATACAAGTGTTTTTTATTTCCTAATTTTTTTTTTTTTTTTGGCCAGTCCTGGGGTTTGAACTCAGGGCCTGGGCACTGTTCCTGAGCTTCTTTTGCTCCAGGCTAGTGTTCTACCACTTGAGCCACAGCGTCATTTCTGCTTTTTCTGTTTCTATGTCACTGAGGAATTGAACCCAGGAGTTCATGCATGCTAGGCAAGCACTCTTACCACTAAGCCTTATCCCCAGCCCCCTCTAACATTTTTTTTATACTGAGTTTTTAAAAGTGTATGCACTTGTTTCCATGTACAGGAAAAACAACAGGAAAGGTAGTGTGCAGACAGGTTACAACAAACCTGAGACTGCTGTTCATAAAAAAAGTTCTGCTTTCCTGATTGATCTTTGTATCAGGAACCTTCAATTTTAAGTGAGTCCTCCCTCCTTCCCTAAGAGATAAGGGTAATCTACCATGTCTAAACTGCATACATCTGTTTTGTTGAGAGCTCAGAGTAAACATCTCCATTTCTGCAGAAGGGTCTGGAATTCAGTATGTTTTTGTCTTGTAATAAAAACTAAGATGCTGAGTCTCTAATGAACTTTCTTTGGCAGAAACATCACATATGTTGGTGTGTTTCTGTGGCTGGGAGGTCACATTACAGGTCACTCAGTAAGCCCATACATGTTCTTCCAGACTCCACATGTCTTTTCTTTTATGTGAAGAAAGGATACTTAGCTATGTATCCTTGTATTCTTGTCACATTATTAGCTATGAGTAAAATTACTCATTCCCCATTTCTCCCTACTTTGTCATGTTACACTAATAAAAATCCTTGCTAACATGGTGTGAGACTCTCCTTATTGTAAGAGGCTTAAAACCATTTTCATGTATGAATTGCAGTGATCTGTGATTCTGCCCGAACACTGCAAAGCTGAGGGAACTCTCTCATCCCTCGTCTGGTGACAGAGACTGATAAGCCAGATAGGTAAATATCACAAGGTTTAGAAAGTGTTTAGCTTTGGAACTTGTTTCTCTTTAAATCTGTCTCTTAGCCATGGTAGAAGCTTTCTTTCACCTCTCCTCCAAAACCTGCCTTGGCTACTGGACATCCCTGCAAGTCAAAGATGGATGAGGAATGGGAAGAAGGCGAGGACGGGAGATAGAAAATCCTATTCAAGCTATTACATGGCACTAGTGGTTTTTTTTTTTTTTAGCCTTCAAGTAACTCAGATGTGGTCCTACAACTGAGTTCACAGAATCACTTGGTACTGTAAGTGGTGTTTGACTGGGAACTAGAGCTGCTCCTCTGTCCTGACTTCCCTGGATTTGTTCCAACTAATGCTAAGCTTGCCTAAACTATATTTACAATTCTTCCCTTTAAGTCTTGCTTTTCCCTAGATATGTTAGGGCCAGGGGAGGGCACAGGTCATGTCCATGTTCATCCCCTCTTGGCCAAGACACCATGTGGCATGTGCCTTCCATCTTCCAATGCCAATCAGTACTTAGTTCACACAGGTCGCAGTGCACCTGAGCGCTGCATATGTGCCTCAGTGTATGCACTGGCTGGAACATGACCATCTTCCTGTCTAATGTGTATCTCCTACCAATCCCTCTAGTTCTAAACTTCATTTTGTTTTGTTGATCGTGGTACTTGAACTCAAGGTCTAGGTGCTGTCCCTGAGCTCTTTTTGCTCAAGATTAGCACTCTACCACTTCGAGCCACAGCACCACTTCTGATTTTCTGGTGGTTAATTGGAGACAAGAGCCTCACAGAGACTTTTCTCCCTGAGCTGGCTTCAAACCCTGACCCTCAGATCTCAGCCTCCTGAGTAACTACACTTACAGGTTACCAGCTCCTAAACTTCTAAGATTGTCTAAACTTTATCTAACAGTCCTCCCCTTTAAGCCTTGCTTTGGAGATGGGCTGTTTTTTTCCATTCTGGACATATCAAGACCAGGGGAGAGAATGAATCATATACAGGCCCCTTCATCAAATCCCCACCTTAGTGGCATATGGTCAGGAGGTATGGACCCATGCTTTTTATACCCCACTCCCAAGATTTAGCTCATGTAACTCACCTGTGCAGTTGTATGCATCTAGGTGGTCCCTGGGCCCCAGTCAATGGGCCTGGGTAGTGGTCTTCAGGCATGTACAGGGTCTGGAGGAACAGACCATCATTGTGAGTGTTTAACTTCTGTTTCCTGAATGGGGAGCAGAAAATGTTTATCCTTTTTCCATTTCTTCCTTCTTCGTCCTGTTACACAAATAACTTTTTGCTAAAATTGGAGAAAAAAATAACCAGAAGGGTTGGAGGTATGGGCTCAGTGGAAGAGTGCTTGCCTAACAACCATGAGGTCCTGAATTCAAATCGCAATAATGCCACAAAATTTGGTGCTCTTATATATACACCTATGTTTTATATATGTGTGTGTGTATATATATTTGTGTGTGTATATATATTTGTGTGTGTATATATATATATATATACATATATATTCTTAACATAAGTAGGACAGATTAGGGTTTGAGTCCCCTTGGGAGGAAATCGAGAGTGATAGCTCAGGACATAGTCTCAGTTGGTCATTGGAGCCTGTTAATTGGCATTTTCTGACAGTATTCTTTTCTTCCCACACATCTGACATTATACGCTTGAAACTTACTAACATATTTCAAATGTAATTACAATTTTTATTTCTTCACAGCTTTAGACTGTTTTGACAAGCTCTGCCTCCTCAACGGTTTACAGGCACTATGATACTGCATTTAGCCCAACTTGTGTGTGTGTGTGTGTGTGTGTGTGTGTGTGTGTGTGTGTGTGTGTGTGTCTGTGTGTGTGTCTGTGCACCAGTTCTGGGGTTTGAATTTAAGGCCTAGGCACTGTCCCTGACCTTTTAGCTCAAGGCTAGTACTCTATCACTGGAGCCACAGCTCCACTTCCAGTATTTTTTAGCACTTACTTGTAGAGTCTCAAAGACTTTCTTGCCCTCCCTGGCTGGCTTTGAACCTCAATCTTCAGATCTCAGACTCCTGAGGAGATAAGATTATAAGCCACTGGCACCCACTAGCCCAATTTGCCCTCCTAACACTACAACTGCAATCTCTCTGGCTCTTCCCCACTTTGCCCTACAAATATGAATGCTGCCCATAACTCAGTCGTTATTCAATGTTTTTCTTTCTGTGCCTGAGCAAGTCCATCCACATTCAGCATGCCCTTTCCCACCTCTACAACAATGGTCCCCAAATCTAATCCCAACTCATCCCAAATTCACTTATCTTTGCAAAAGACTACAATTAATTTTGTTGTTGTTGGTTGTGAGGTTTGAACTCTGAGCCTGGGCACTGTCCATGTGCACTTCAGTTCAAGGTGAGTGATCTACCATTTGAGCCACGGTGCCACTCCGGTTTTCTGGTGGTTAATTGGAGGTAAGAGTCTCACAGACTTTCCTGTCCAGGCTGGCTTTGAACCGTGATCCTCAGATCTCAGTCTCCTGAGTAGCAAGGATTACAGGCGTGAGCCATGGGCGCCCAGCATGACTACAATTTTTGAACTGTGCATTTTGCCATCAGCTCCAGACCTCCTCTGCACAACTCCTCCTGTAACTCCTCTCCCTGGCTATATATTTTTATCCGATGTTCTAGTATTCGACCAAATATTCCAAATTCAAATGCTTTTACCACACTCTCCTTCTCTGCAAATCTAGATACCAGGTTCTTTGACTCTTCTTATGCAATGTCATTTGTATCCATTCCTCACCACAAATACCATCAAGATTCAGGTCCATCACAGCTTGCTTCGGAACTACCTCCACACATCCCAGACTGCCACTGGTCCTCGTTCTAGAATAGCTGTCTTTCTCACATTAGAACAATCCAACCTGCTTCCTGATTATCAGTGTGACACTGTGCCGGGGCTGGCTTCAGTGAACCTTTCTAGACCCTTCTAGTCACTTCTCCAGGGCGTTGCTATTTCCTTCATGAGAGTGTTTTTTGCCACAGCGGTTCTATCTCCTCCACGACCCCCCACCCCACCCCACGCGCTGGGGCGCAGGCCAAGGAGACAATGTAGGGTGTTTCTGGGGGACGAGGAGGGATGGGATTTAGGGTCAGTTCCACCAAGCACCCATTATGGGAGGATGGGACCGCAGGAGAGGAGGGAGACCCCCCCAGTGCCAACTTGCACTGCAGGATCTGATACACTGCAGGTGGACAGCGGGAGACCACACCCACCACATGCGCACCGCGGGCGCAACTTCGGGTCAGCACCTCGGCGAGCCAAGATGCCAGCACTCAGTCAGCTCCGCCCGCGCCACCCCGTCCCGCCTCTCCAGCTCCCCCAAGTCCCCAGCGTCCCCTTCTCTCTGACGCTGAGCTCACTCGGCTCGGCGAAGACACGGACATGCAGCCCTCACCTGCGGCGGCACGGAGTCCTCGGGACCCCGGAAGACCGGGCCGCTTCGGGTCGGGAAACAGTGCGCAGGCGCAGAGATCCTTGGCAGCAGCGCTTGAGATCAATGCGTTGCCTTTGCACGGACTACGCTTCCCAGAGTTCTCAGGGGCTGGCGCGCGCTAATGTGACGTTCAAAGAATGGGCATTTGTCTCTGCTCCTGTGAAAGAGGCTGGAGGTGCCGGATTTAGGTGGACGTGGTAGGGTGGTCTCCTAAGTGGGCGCGCTTGCACTCACCCGAAGTAGTACCCTGCATGTGATGGCACATTCTTTTACTTCTTCTACTCTAGGGCTGTCCTAGGAAATGCATGTCGATCTCTGCTTCCGTCTTGACTATTCTGAAATTTATACCAAAGAGGCCGAGTTTGGTTCAGTGTTCGGAGTTGCAACCCAAGGAGGGCTCAGCACAAATTTGCTCCTGAAAGAAGAGCCGAGTCCAGAATACCTGTGCGCGTACTTAAAACTAGGCAGTGGGGTTGTCTACTAACAATTGAGCATACACCAGCCAACTTTCCTGGGTGCTGCTGCAAAGGCTCTGGCTGGAGACGTGGCAGAAATGCTCAACCATGAATGCAGCTGGAATTACCTGGCGAGCTGTAGACATAGTGTTGTCTGGGGCCCGCTTTTTGGAACAAGAGTTTGGAAAGATCGTAGGTAATCCAACATTGCAGCTAAAGCTATGAGCTAGAGCTTCAGGGAAGATTGAAGATTGCTCGAAAAATGTGATGAAAGCTTCAGAAATCTACACTTTCACCCCCAAAGCCTTAATTGTCTAAGTAAATACATTACAAATGTGAATGACACAGCACTTTAAATGAGCTCATAAGCCAATGGAAAACAACAGAATGTAAAATTATTATGCTATAAGTGCAGTATGTTCAGTAACTATAGGGATACATGGAGGAAGTGACTGGCAAAAGTGGGAAACACTTTCTATATCTGGCACATTGGAAGAAGAAAAAAAAGTGCAGTCTATGCAGAGAGAATAGCACATGCAAAGTAGAGACTAGAGAATAAAAGTAAAATGAACTGGTAATAACATGAATGGCTGTTGAGTGTGATTTGTTAAGATGATAACTGTGCCTTGGGGCTAGTTTATGGCAAACTTTGTGGTGTGTTAGGTTGGGGCTTTCCTAGGTTAGAACTGAAAGTCAGCACATAAGACATGTATCTTCATGCTCTTTGTTTCTGTCTAGTGGTTTTTATTTGTTTTGCTTTATACTGAGAGAGGAAACTTTGAAGTTACAAAATAGCTGTAGTCAAACCAAAATTGGTTTCCTTCTAGAATTGGCCCCTCCTTTTCCAGGTCTTCCACTCTAAGCTCTATTGCCCCACGTACCTGTCAAATTGGAAATTTATGTTCTTCATAATTTATCAGTGTAAAACCAAGTTTTGTTGCTCACCCCTCAGGATCTAGCTCTCACTTTATTTAAAAATCTTACCAATTTTTTCACTTCCATAATTTTTTAGCAATTTTATTCTTTTAAGAAGAATTGTTTAGGGCTGGGAAGGTGGCTCAGTGGTAGAGCGCTTGCCTTGCATGCCTGAGGCCCTGGGTTTGATTCCTCAGCACCACATAAGCAAAAAGAAAAGAAAGCCGGAAGTGGCGCTGTGGCTCAAGTGGTAGAATGGTAGCCTTGAGCTGAAGAGCTGAGGGACAGCGCCCAGGCCCAGAGTTCAGGCCCCACAACCGAACCCCCCCTCACCTCCCCCCAAAAAAAGAACATGGAGAAGAATTGTTCAGGCTATTTAATCAGCCAAGTTACTGGGAAGATTAAGAAGCCTGTAGCAGCCAAGAAGTCATAGGCACTTGTTTCAAATAAAACATGTCTCCTAGGCCTACTAGTTTGTGAGCTCTGCTGAACTGCAGCTGTTAGGGTGCCCTCCATCTCAGGTCCTCAGCAGGAAACAGCTCCAGAAGAAACAGCCTCCGCCCATACTCCTGGCCCAGTATCCATATTTATTAAACAGCAAAGGAGGGCTGGGAAGGTGGCTCAGTGGTAGAGCACTTGCCTTGCATGCATGAGGTCCTGGGTTCGATTCCTAGCACCACATAAGCAAAAAGAAAAAAGCTGGAAGTGGCACTGTGGCTCAAGTGGTAGAGTGCTAGCCTTGAGATGAAGAGCTGAGGGATAGTGCCCAGGCCTAGAGTTCAGGCCCCACGACCGGACCCCCCCAAAAAAAATAAACAGCAAAGGGAAGAATATTAGCATACCCTACATTTCAGACCCTCAGCCCCTCCCACAAAACCAGTTGATCTGGGCAGGACCTAATTACATCTGGCTTTCAACCATGGCCCTTTCTCCCAGTTTACTTCCTGGAGCCGTGTTTTACCCCTATCCCCCAGCTGCATCAGGGGAATGCTGCCTAACTGTAACTGATACAGATAGTGTTCAGCTGCACACACACACACACACACACACAGAGGACTTCCCATACTTCCCAGCCCTAGCCCCTTGACCATAAATTTGGCCCTGAATAAAGGATGGTGCCATTTCTCCCTCTCCCATGGAGGAGGTGGCCTTGTCAGCCTCAGCTGGCAATAAACTCTTTTTCCCTTATGTGACTTTGTGTTGGATTCTCTGGGCTAGTGCTACACCAAATCCCTCCAAATTTATTGGCTTAAAGAATCAGTTTTAGAAGGCCAATGGATTTTGTGGGTCAGAAACATGGACAAGATGTAGTAAGGATGGCCTGTGTTTATTTCATGACTTATAGGCCTTCATTTGGGAGGATTTTTTATATTTTTATTATTATAAAGGTGATATATAGAAGGCTTACCATTACATAAGTAATGAGTACATTTCTTTTTTAACAATATCACCTTTTCCCTCATTTCCAGTTTTTCCCTCCCATCCCTATCCACAAGTTGTATAGTTTCTTTTCAATATATGTCTACATTGAACAAATACACTGCTATATTTGTTCATCCTTTGTCCCTCCATTTCTGTGCTCTCTGTTACCCTCAAAGACAGATAAACCAACAAACAAGATAGAAGGAAAAAAAAAAAAAAGAAAAACCTCTTGTTTCCATTTCCTGTAATTCATTTTGGTAAATATTATTTTATGTGACCAGAGGCACATGGGCATTGTGCCTTTGTGTTCCTAAGTATCCTTTAGGAGGATTTTTTTTCTGGCACCTGCACTAGCCTCCATGGCTGGTCTTAGCTAGGGCTGTTGGCCTGAGTTCCCACCTATAGCTTCTCTTTGTGCTCTGACTTGCTCATAATATAATGGCCTTAGGGCAATCACACTCTGTTCAGAGCTCCAGGAGTATCCCAGTGAACCTACCTGGCCTTTTATGACCTAGCCTCAAAAATAAATAGTGTCAATTTGAATTATTTCAAAGTGGGTCTAAAGTAACCTGTCTTGTCCTCACAGCCATCCTAGTGTCTTGATGAGTGGTGGGGGCTTTCCACTCAGCTCTGAAAAGCCTAGAGGTAAGAGAGGCCATTCTTAAAATTGTAGGTGTCACGCTGTTTATCCCCAGAAAAGCTTTGCTACAGCAAAAGCTGGTCCTTGATTAGCTCCCTAGATGGTTTGATTTGCTCAACTCTGACTATTTTCCTATATGCAAAGTTTTGCGTACCTGTGGCCGTGGATCTGCGTGGGATTTTCGTTCCAGAGCCTGTCCCTGAGGAGCCAGTGGAGCCAGTTGGAGGTGGCCTGGTTTCTGAGGGGTCTGAGGCTTCAGGCATTTCTGAGCAACCTCCAGGTTTGCTCTGGGCCTTGCAGATCCTGCCACTTCTGGTGGAAATGCCCTGTGTCACCCAGGCGGTCCCAACCCTCTCTGGGCTCTCCGATCCCTCTGGAGGACCGCAGGGCTCCCCCTGAAAGGCAAAGATTTGTACCTAGCGAGAGGACATGCCTTTTAGTCTTAGCTATGGACTACACAGCATCAGATTTGGCTCTGAGCATGCGGAGGACCGGGAGCCCTCCTGGGGGCTTGGGAGTATCAGGCCTAGGTGGAAGAGAGCCCTCAGAAGAGGGGGGATCTCATTGAAGGAGCACAGTCTGCAGCTACCACCCCTGGGCAGCTCCTAATTCCAGACCCAGGAGGCTGAAATCCCAACATTGCAAGACTGTAACAGAAACGGCCACGGAAAACTTGTCCCAAAGTCCAGTGCAAAATGGGCAGGCTGGACAGAATCTGTTATCTTCCTGCAGTGTCTGGGAGAGAGCAAACAAAACAGAGAGGGATCAGGGGAACACAGGGTGATGTGAAAGCAGTCACTCACCTCCTTGCTTCACATTGTAAAGTTCTTCTAGATGACCTGTGTATAAAGTCAGCAGTCTATCAGATTTTGAGTTGCCTTCTCACCCAATGTTGGGGCCAAAAGGTTCTGGAGATTTTAAGGTTTGGTTTGTGTGTGTGTTTTCTTTTTCCTTCCTTCCTTCCTTCCTTCCTTCCTTCCTTCCTTCCTCTATCCCTCCCTCAAGCCCTCCCCCCTCTCTCTTTCTCTTTCTTTTTTGCTATTCTTTTTATAATTTTAAAAATTATTTATTTTTATTGTGAGAATACCATACAGAGGAATTACAATTACATGGGAAGATAACGAGTACACTTCTTATCAAGCATTGTTGCCTCCTCATTGTTTCCCCTTCCCATCCCTTCCCATACTCCTCCCCTCCTCCCCACCCAATCCTCCCCCCACCCCCTATAATTTTTATTATTATTATTAAGGTGCTGTATAGAGGGGTTATCATTTCTTTTTTTTTATGGGGAGGGGGTCCAGTCGTGGGGCCTGAACTCTGGGCTCTTCAGCTCAAGGCTAGCACTCTACCAGTTGAGGCACAGGACCACTTCTGGCTTTTTTCTTTTTTCTTATGTGGTGCTGAGGAATCGAACCCAGGGCCTCATGCATGCAAGGCAAGTGCTCTACCACTGAGCCACCTTCCCAGCCCGGGGGTTATCATTTCTTAAGTCAGATAATGAGCGCATTTCCTTTTGGATAATGTCATCCCTTCCTTCACTTTCCCCCAGTATTC